GTAGCTTCCTGTTACTAGTAGCAATGCCAGGAGCTACTAGCTTCTTGCTCCTAGTAGCGATGCCCTTCAATACTAGTAGCTTCTTGTTACTAGTAGCAATGCCAGGATCTACTCGCTTCTTGTTCCTAGTAGCGATGCCCTTTGTTACTAGTAGCTTATTGTTACTAGTAGCAATGCCAGGGGCTGCTAGTTTTTTGCTCCTAGTAGCGATGCCCTTTGTTACGGCCGGCCGGCGACAGCAGCAGCAGCAGCAGGAGAAAGAGGAGGAGGAAGAGGAGGATAAAGAAACTATAATGGGCTTATACATGCTTATACGTCTTTTTTCTCCCGAAAGTAGAGTCTGGAGTAATTGACCGACCCTCGAAGTTTGAGTCTAAGTTTGAGTCTATTTTCTTGTTCTATAAAATTTCTTAAGACAGTCCCCAACCGGAAAAGTTTCTTGTTATTATGTGTTTTTCCAGTCCCGTGGAGCTGTCCGGGTCCACGAGACTTCCGTCGACCGCCACGAGACGAGGCAAGACTTGGCGGCGGCCGAGCTTTTGGGGAGCATTGAGGACGGGGCGGCCGACACCGAGGGAGAACTTGTTGTTTTGGCTTTGAAGACGCAATGCGAACGGTTTCAGGTGAAGAAAAACCGAGGCCCCACGGTTTCAGATGCGTGGCTGGGGTGTGTGGCTTCAAGTTGACCTGTCGATCACCTCGACAGCCACGTCATTTGATAAGATGGACCCTCCCCTCATGGTGAACCAGGTTCCGCCACAACGCCTGGAGAGATCTAGATAGAGGGGTTTCAGGGGTTTGTTGAGTCTCTTGACATAACAATAACATGATGCAGGAAAGCGGTCTCCCCCGAAACAGTATGCAGTTTGTTACTGCGATCCAAGCACTTTTGGGTTGAAAGAGGAAAGATGAGCCCGTCGATGTAGGTTTCTGTTCCTTGATCAGGGAACTATCTGATCTGGCTGTTTCATTCACTGCTGTGGTCTCCTTGACATTTGAGAAAGTTGAGGAGAGGTGCGATGGCTGGGAGAAGAAGACAAAATGCTTGAACTACTGTACTCTTTCGAACAGTGGATTGTGTCACCCGCTTCAAACAGCTGCCAGGAGAACATGAAGGCGATTGTGGCCATGAACCACCCGGAGGTCATTAAGGACGGACACGGTTCCTCGCAACACGCATGTAGGATCCTGAAGGGGGAAAACAGCAGGAAGCGCGGCAAGCCACACGGTGTTCCCACGATCATGCTTCAACGACTACTCCCCAGGTGCGAAGACTAGGCACACCTGATTTATGTAAGACTTGTCAACACACCGCTCATCGAAAACTATGATCGAACTACAGTAATTAAAAAAATAACATAGTTCCCCTGAATGTATCGGAGACCTAGCTGAACTCTTGGGGAGTTCCGAGCCATTACTTGATATTACTTGTTGGCTCCCACTTATAGTTTCCCTCCATGTCATCTCTACAAGGGTCATTTCATCCCCAATGCTGGAGTTGTGTTGCTTCATGAACAGCTATTGGCTGTACTTGGACCCTTTTAAAGCAATAGCCCCATCGCAGGACCTGAGGCACCAAGCGAAAACAACCCCGTTGCAACTCATTGCTTGAAATTAGCAAGTATACAACTTGGGAAGTGTAGGACTGTTTTGTGAACCAAGTGAACAACCCTCATGTTTTCTCATGGGTGGTGTATTCTAATATGAAGACCCCCCCAACCCATGAAGCCATGGGCTTTGGGTGGTGCGTTCCGGTCTCGGTGTTTCTCACGTCGGACCCGAGCCTTTGGAGCGGTTCGCCGCGGATACCCGCAGTACCCGGCCTTCGCTGGGCGGACGCCCCTGCTCGCGGCGCTGCGGCAGAACGGGCACGGGGGACGCGGATCTGGGGGGCGTATTGGGGGCGAGCAAGTTCGGGCTCCAGGGCCAGCTGGTCAAGGACTAAGTCAGCTGACTGGTGCTACGAGTGCATGGAATGAGGGTGGCTGGATCCAAAGGAAGCTCTATTGAGAGCTCGTTGCCTTATGAACATGGGTTTCTTCATGTTTCTTCCAAATCGGAAGAGTCAAGAGTCAAGAGAAAGGTTTTCTATGGCGGTTTTCTAACATCTATGCCAGACTGGCCGCAGGCCCAAAGTGGGTCTTGGGGTCAGGCGACCAGAGAAGCCTACTGACGTGTAACACACTTGGATCTTAGTGTTTGCTTCGACAGGGGTACCTCTGCCACCAAACCATCAAACTCTGCCAACATTGGAAAACCTTCTACTTTTGTTGGGTCAAACGGTCAAACATGTGCAAACTGTAAACCGTCCGGGCATGCATTCCCTGCCTGCTGGGGGCACTTCACCAGAGAAAGTCCGATTTTGCAACGCCTTTCACCTTCCACCGAACACAGCTCGGTATGTTGGCACGCCAGACCGCAGGCAGCTCCTGCAGTTCGCCACCCCTGAGCTGCGCGAGGACTTTAAGGCGTTTCCGAGAGTTCCATTGATGCGTTGATTCCGAAGACTTGGCCTAGTGACTTTAGTGGTACACCAGCTTTTTGTTTGGGTTTCCTTATAGACAGATCCCCCTTCGTACTGTTCCCATAGAATGACATGAGGTCGGCCCCATTATTTTTGTTGGGTTGAATTTGTGCAAACGTTGGTTTTGTCATTTTATGCAGTGCAACCGTGAGATCATTATCTATCGTTTGTGGTGATGAAGAGAAGCATGTGATGTCAAGTATTGGATTTGTTAAAGACGGACTACTGCGAAAGCATTTGACCAAGAAAGAAAGTTAAGGAATCGAAGTCAATCACAGACAATAAACCATGCCAGCTAGAGCTTGATCGTGGACAGTTTGAACTGCAGTGCGGCCTTGTGAATTGCAGCCCGGCTGGCCCAAAAGCTGTGTTCTTAAAAAGTGGATTAGCGACCATGATTATGATGAAGATGATCATCATGATGGAGATCATTGATATACCAAAATGGACATGCTTTCAATAATGTTTCAGTCACACATATTACACCGTCTGAGTTGCGAATTGCGAAACCAGTCGCATTCTGTTCAAAGCCTGACCGGCCTAAGCGATGCGAAACTCGGTTGAAAGGGCTGGTTAGCTCCACTGCAGGGACGTATTTTTGCTATTCAGGGCTTTGATTCAGCAGTATAACGTTAATGATATTTGAACCACTGGAACCTTTTGAATCCAAGCTTTGGAGATCTTTTTTGGTGTTGCTGATTACCGCCAAGGAATAGTGCGGAGAAGCTGCCGAAGCACCAGAGTGGGATGAGTCGCATGGCTTTAGTCTTTGGAACCACTGGTTATATCAGCTATAGATATAGAGCTGGAGTATAGTGGCATCCGGTGGTATTGGGATCCCGACCCTGGTGTCAACGGAGAAAACAGAGACAGTCTGGACCTCCATCTCCAACTTCACCAGCGGAGAAGCCAGAAAAAGCAAAGAGTTTCCGGCCAGAGGGAGCAGCCAAAGATTTCCCGCCTCCACCCAAACAGTGGATGAGTCGCAATAAAGTGGTTCTGTGTCAGGTGCCGGTCCCGAAACTTCCCTTGACATGTGGCCGGAACATGCCGGAACAGGGTCCATGCACATGATGATGAGCCGACTTTGAGCCAGGCGGTACCTATATCTCCTGCAATGCGTCCGCTGGAGAAAGCAAGGCCAAAACGACCTTACAGCGCAGTGTGAAAAAGTGATATACCTGACTCGATGGGGTGGTGGGCAGGTGGTATCAATGTTTCACTTTAACGCGTGGCTGTGCAAACACTTCGTCTTGGACTTGAAGACTTGGCTGATTCCGTGTCGAAGCTGTTGGGAGTTCTCCTCGGCAGGGCCACAGAGATCGGCCTTCGCGCGCGACAGCATTGCGATAAGAGGAAGAGGAGTGGAAGTAACGCGAAGAGGAGGTCCGGGAACACACACACACACACACTTGACAGCAGCAGTTTCGGAGAGGTAGGTGTCTACAAGCGCTCGCGCAACACGGAGAGGGGGTGCATCTTAAAAAGCGGGAGGGGTGCGGGGGAGGGCGCAGCGCCTCCCCCGCGGGGCAAGCGAAGCAAGCCCCCAGCGATAGCATTGCGATAAGAGGATCCGTCATTTCCACTCGAGTGGAAGTGACGAGAGGAGGCGCTTGACAGCTGCAGTTTCGGAGGGGTAGGTAGTATCTACAGGCGCGCGAGGAGCTTGACAGCTGCAGATTCGGAGGAGTAGGTGTCTACAGGCGCGCGCAACACGGAGAGGGGGTGTAAAAAGCGGCGGAGGGCGCAGCGCCTCCCCCGCGGGGGCGAGCGAAAGGGTTAGAGGACGGAGGTGTCGTCCAGTCATCAATGCTCAGGAAGGTTTTCATTGCTCCACGCTGGACGGCGATGGCCGATTCAAAAACAGCCAAAACTGGGATCTCCTTCATACCAGGTTCTCCCATGCGTCGAAGTGACTGTTCAAAGCGTGCCAGGGTAATTTCTTTGAGAATACCAAAGTTGGATTCTAGGTCGGTCTCCGTAACGACATTTCATTTGCTTGCTTCCCAGATTGTTAGGGCCCTGTCATCAGAAGACATGATGCTGGCCCCCCACCTTGCAGCGAACTTGCTAACGGCATCAAAGAGATCTCTCAGTTGACCCCATACATCATGGGATAAAATGGGGAACTAGAGTGGTGCAATCTACAAATCTACAATGCATGATGCAATCAACTAGACAATCCATATCAATTATGCATCATTCCAATCAATGCAAGGAGCTGACACTTTTGGTTTGGCTACCACCAAGTCATCCCCCACCATGTTCTCTTCCACAGCCACGGCTACTTGGCGTCCCGTGGCTGCCAAGGACACTATATGCGGCAGAGCCAGAGCAGCGCTTGGAAAAGTGACTGGCACTGCAGGTATGCGGGTGTTAGTGTCACAGCCAGTGAACATGTGATTCATTGGGATCATGCATATGCGTCGGTATCAAAGATCTCAAGAATCCCAACCAGTGGCAGAGCAAGGTGGTGCGCACCTCTAAGTGCACTCATCCGCAGGCCCCAAGTGGGGAAGGCTATAGTGGTAGAATTGATTTTGTCTGACCATGGCTACCTAGCTTGCTCATGTTCATGATGAGAATAGCTCAATCTGAGAAATTCACATCATGCCATCAAGAGCGAGACATGAAAGTTGGCATGTCATCTCCACCGGAGCATGACAATGCGAGCGGTGCGACAGCCGTCGCCCCCTTCAGTGTGTTCGCCTGTCCATGAGCCCAGCCGACGCAGCTCTTTGCCAAGCTTTGCGCGCCAACTGGATCTGCCACAAGTTGCTGCAGCAGCAGACGCAACTGGGCAGAAGATGCTGTCTGTGGCTGCCAAGAGGGCCAAGGCCAGGGGCAAGGCGAAGAGTTCCAAAGTCAGCAAAAGACTTCAGGAAAAGGGCCAGCCACAGTCAAGTCTTTGTCCAAAGAGTCCAAAGATGGGGGTCAGGCACTGCGTGATGAGATGCACCGCTTGCTTCGCTTGGACATGTCCTTTGCCCAGCTATTGGCATGATGTTAATAGCCAGTGTTTCTTGTTTTAGACAAGTCACTGCGGTTTTTTGCCTGTGGCTAGCCTTCCCGATTATCCTTGTTTTGACATTTTTTAAAGACACTGGGTCGAGTTTGAAGGTGCCGGTTACTCTTGCAATACCCCATGATCCTCAGACGCCGGAAAGATCACGTCGATGGTTGTAAATAATTAAGACGTGGTTTCCGCTTCACAAGCCAGGCAAGTGTGCGAAAACAAACCCATCGTCGACAACCTTGGCGCCATCCGCATCAATGCCGACAGCTGCCAAGGTCTCCTCTTCAAGGACATGGTCCAGAGCGCGCCTCGCTACTTCCGTGCGACATTGTGGAGATTGAAGCGGGGTGAGTTCACAGAAGCTGTGAAACAACAGATTGCAGCAGCTGAAAATGGACTCATCCAAAATTCATAGGCCTTCTTGAAGCTGATTGTTGAGGTTTGCAAGTTGCAAGGCAACGCTATAAGTCCAAAGTGAATGCATCGAATACAAGCGTTCCCTTGTTTGTGAAAGTTTCACTGCCAGCGGGGTTTGATATCGGCGGGTCGGGCTTTGTTATCGCTGCTTCTGGGATTATGTTTCATCAAGCCCATTCCTGAGCGATTGTGTTCGCTCTGGCTGCTATAGAAATCCGCTCCTTGTTGGTTAGCAGAAAGATCAGAATGATCAGAAAGAACATCCGACCCGTGTTTTTGATTTTTTTCGGGGTTATCGATTGAAGCCGTGAAGCAACAGCTTCTTCGGCAATGTTGGCACTTGATCCATGATGTCGAAATAGGAAAAATTCAATCACATGTTTTGCAAAGAACTTTGCAGAAGTTGAAGGCAACAGTTTTTGTCAAGTGCCCTTTGGGATGAGCTTGCTTCTCATCACGCTCATTTATGATGGGTCTGCGCTAAGTGGCCGGGGGTTCAGAGCCTTTGTGCGATTAGCGGCGGGGTTGGGTTAAGTTTGGGTCACAGTTTGGTCGGTCGTGAAATGGTTTCATGCCCATTCACGAGGTTGAGTCAATATATCGAAAACCGAAGGGCGTGATCAATGAACAGATCCAAACTTGCGTTGGCTGGGCTGGCAGAACCCCAGAGTGAAACCTTGGCGATACAAGAAAAAAGGGGCAGGGTGTTCTTGCTGCAGATTGATCATCCCGCCTGGATTCTATTTTGGTGTCTTGAAAAGGTTGGTTCTTCATCAGAGGGAGATAGACAGGGTCTTAATTGTGCGACCTGTGTTGGCTGCTTTTACCTGGTCGGATGATGTCTAATGGTCTTCGAGTGTTATCGATTTGAGTTTCCGGTTGATGTTGCTCCGATCGACGGAGAAGAAAACCCAGGCAGGTTGAGCTACAGATAGTGTGAGATTTCGAAGCTCAGCACCTTTTGGACAACCAGCAGCAGTCCAGGAGTCCAAGGAGCCATCACATAAAAAGTGTCAGATCAGACCAAGTTGGACCAATGTATAGTTCCGGACTGAAAGATAGAACCCCTACGTGTGGACCGTCCGTAGAAGGGGTACACTTAGAACCCCGTCTAGGTCACACGAGTTAGAACCACGTCAAATTCTATCTTTCAGTCCGCTATTTTTCCCAAACCTCCACTTTTCTACACACAATCATGCACACACTTAGAATGCCGAACTAAAATTCAAATGTTCGCCATTCATGGCCCCGCGAGAGACGGCTTACCCCATTCAGGCCAACCTGGGCCAAAAAATCTCTCGCGGCGAGCCCACATTCTAAGTGTAGGTGGGCGACGCTCCATTTTGCTGATTTTTACCTGACAAAATTCTACAAAGGCGATTCAAAGGCGATTTTCCTCGCGGAGAACGTGGTTCTAAGTGTGAGGTGGAGCATTGTGTACGAGCCGACGTGGTTCTATCTTTCAGTCCGGGACTATACATTTACCCAATGAACACCCAATAGACACCTTGTGGCCCCGCGTCAACCAAACAAACCAAACATGTTCGAGTCATGGCTGGTGAACATCCCAATCTTTGCTTGGGGTGGATCAAGATTTCTCCCTCCTCCAGGTTCTTCGAAGTGGAAGTCGTAAGTTGGTCTTTGGAGCTCCGGGTCTGGGAGTTACCTGAGGTACCTGGACTCTTCGGGCCCTTTGGGCCCTTTGGGCTATTAGACTTTCCGTGCCAAAAACGGGCACATGCTCGGCCGCGAGGTGGTGGAGGCTGCGTTGAGTCAATCGCCACAGGCGATCCGTCGGCCCACCCAGGTGGTAGAAGGGTTGCTTCCAGTGATTTTTCAATCCGGGTCCGGTTCTTACTTTTTCTTTTTCGCTTATATACTACGAAATGTTTAAATCAAACTGTGGTTTGGACTGATTGCATGTCGTGTAATGTGGTTTTTAGTAGAAGTACGTAGAAGTGTGAATGTTTTTTGATATTGTTGCTTGCTTGAAAGAACTAACCAGATTTGCCGCATTTTTTGATGTTTTTGGTTCTTTGGAGACAGCCAAGAGAGCTTGCCAGTACTTTGACTACAATAGGCACACACCGCCTTGGCCACCATCAGGTCTCCGGCACAAGCGTGAGCAGCCGGCCATTCTGTTGCACCCAACGATACCCAACGTCTACACTCCCGAAAACTAACATGGAAGTGGAAAACCACCTGTTTGTAGTGGACAATTGTCTTCCAAGGGGCCATTCTCCACTTCCATGTTAGTTTTCGGGAGTGTATCTCCCTGGTCGAGATGGTGAAGGAGCATCTAGTGAGTGGATGGTTTCCATGGACCTGCTGGATGCAATTCTTTCACAAAGCCAGCCACTCCAGGGGACTGGAGTACATGCCTATCACTGATTCTTTTTCAAACACCCACGTATGCATGCGTAATCATGTGTATATATAGAATTATATATACATATTAATATTGTATGTACATATATGCACAGTTCCATGGAGTGTTTGAGTGTTTGGGCCCGTCCTTTCACCAAGTCTATCCAACAGAGATGACCGGACCACCCAGGTTTCGCGCGTGGCGCTGCCCTGGCCAAGTTGAAGGCCCAGCAGCAGGCCGAAACAGGGCGGCACCGCTGGGCCGCTTGGGAATGAGACGTGAAGAGATGAAAGTTGTGTTGAAAGGATCCAAGTTGTTTTGGTGTATCTTGGCACAATCCAAGGAGGAGGAGCAGAGTTTCTGGGTGGTCAAATGTTGTGAAGTACTTGTACTCTGTGGTCATCCTTGCGTCAACGGTGTGTCAAGGGCAATAGAATGGAGCAAGGGTACATCAGATCCATAAAAATACACATTGGTCCTGTGATTTTGACTTAACCTGGCCAATGTGGCACGTTCCATGTTGGGGGAGGGAACACTTCCAGAACAGACTCTAAGTCTGAGTTTGCCCGACCATCCTCATCAACAAGCCTCCCAAAGGGTTTCTGTCTTGTACCCCTTAGATCCCCTTAGTCAGTACTCCTGAATCACTCCCTAAATATTATACGCATATATTCCTTTTTGGACCTGGCCTTCCATATCAACCACTTGGAAGCTGCCGAGGGCCGCTGCACCGGTCCTCCGGTGACTGCTGCGCACCGGTCCACCAGGCCACGGCGCCCATCTTGAGCTCTCCAGCGGCCACCCAGCAGGCCAGGTCTGAGAAGCGAAGAAGCGAAGAAGCGAAACGAAGGCAGCGAAGCGAAGCTCGACATCAGGAAGGAAAGGCTGTGAAGTTAGGCGTTTTTGTTCTAGTTCCAAAAACAACTCGCCCAGTCTGAGAATGTCTGAGGTGGCCCTGTGCTGTGAGCCTTTGGTAAGATTAGGAGAAAGATCTGCATCTACTTTAATCAGTTGAATCCGTTGAACCAACATGAAGCAGATCATTTTCGTTAACTACTAAACTTGACGAACCAGTAAACCCACCACCGGCATGTTCGAAGGCAGATTTGCTCCCCTGGGCCGCTGGCAAGCAGGAGAGGGCTGGCGCAGTGCGGCTGGGCTGGAATCACAGGTTGGGAAGTTAATTGAATTGGTTCTTGTTTATTCTATCTATATAATCCTATAGTGCCGTAACTAAACGACAGTGTGGCCCGAAAGCACAGCAACAGACAGTTCTAACAGTCTTTGAAGATGATAAAGGCTGACGGAAATCAATCCCAGGTAGATTTCTACAGGCACTGTGGTCTGAACAGATGGTCATGATGACCATGACATCATGAAGATGAAGGGGTACGGTACTGGCGGTTTCGAGAAATTCCCTCATTCACAAGCAATCCATGCATGGACGAGCAGTTTGCAGCAACTTCAATCAGAAGCAACCATGTTTTTTCCTTGGAATCTATGTCACTTCAGGTAAATCCCATTCGCAAAGGATGCTGCTAGCAGTGTGCTACCAAATGAGTTGTCAACAAGTGAAATGAATGCCACCACAAAACACGCACTCCTGGGCACAACCCCACCGTTTGAAGATGAAGCCTACAGCTGATACGCTTAGATCGATGCGCCTGTATCTATACGCCTAGACCTAGACTATACGCCTACATCTGATGCGCCTTCATTTGTACGCCTACAGCCTAGAGTCCTAGAGGTAATCCGCCTGCATTTCTGTCCATTTGTGTACACTGACTTGCATACACAGACATTTGATATGAACCGTGATGATGATGACGACGAAGAATATGATGATTATCATCATGAAGGCGACGATGTGGAACATGAAGTTGACAGCTGTTCTTTACGAAGAACCCTTCGCAGGCGCTTGAGGGCACAAAGCTGTGTGAGGATGATTCTTACCTTGCGAAATGGAGGGACGGGTCAGTGGACGGTGAGTGGAACAATCTGGAAGTGGGGATGAATAGGGAGACCCCCCAATGGATTTGGAGTCATTTTCCTTGTGGCAGGTGGTGGTAGGTGGTAGGTGGTCTAGTCAACAGTCTCCAAAATACAAAAACACACCGTTTGTGGTGCATGCCCCAACCCACGTCCCTGATGTGGATCTTCGCTCGTCGCAGCCCGGGTTGATGGCAGGCTAGATTTCCTCTATAAACCATGGACCCTCGGGGTCGCCTCTTTAGATCTATAAAATGCACCTCTTGGTTTGGGGTTTGCCGTTCGAGAACGGTACAATCAGCTGCCCGTATTTGCATGTCAGGACGATGCATCCCGCATCGACTGGTGTTGTTGCGTCTGGGGGCCTCAACTCGCGGAAGCTAGCGGCAGCTAGTTGGAGTTATTCTTGCTTTGCGGATGGAATGACCTGCCCAGTAATATATGTTAACATCATCGTTCGCTGGCCGGCTCCCTGAATTAGATTTTTTGAGGCTTCGGTCTTATTAATGTCCATCTTACAAAACCAAGAACTCCTTGACTGAGGCAGCCGGCGAAGAGTCGCCCTGGCAACAGCTCTAGCTGAGTGCTCCAGTTGCCTGGCGCGAGCGGAATGGAAGCAGGGGAACTTTTATACGGCGGGTGGCGAAGCAGTTCTATAAGGCCTGTCCGATGAAAGAGATTGTGCCATACTGCTGCACCTCTACACCAGGGCCATGCAAGGCTTACCCACTAACAGGGGGTTGGAATATAGTACACAACCTCAATGTGAGGGGGGGTTGAACCTATTTGATTGTTGGCAACTAAGACGGCTTGGCATGTGGAAGCGGCCAATAAAAATCAGTGAAGGCAGAGCTTTTATTCACCTCTCCGCGGGGCGAAACATGGGTCCTTGATCCGGACAGTCACGGGGTGAAGAATCCAAAGCTAATTGGATGCTATATTACGATGTACAAAGCCACTAAGAGAAACTCAAATGCAAGATGCTGCTGAAAGATGAATTCAACAGGTCCTTTTAGATGTACATAAGTGAATGATGTTGCAGAGGAGATGTTGTCGGACCACCACCGAAGTCCTGCCTTTTGTTGATCTTTGCGATGCAGCGAGTGTATTGGGGGGTTTGCCCCACTCTGTGTTTTTTTGACGACTCTCTCTCTCCCTCCCTCCCTCCCTCCCTCCCTCCCTCCCTCGCTCGCTCGCTCGCTCGCTCGCTCTCTCTCTCTCTCTTTTCTCTTTCTCTTCTCATGTATGTATGATGTTGATGAACCATTCATCCAGGATGTATTTCTGCAGATTGCTCGATGTGTCCAAAAAGTTGCCCACAAACTATACTGTACCATCCCGAAACCGAAACCTCCCGAACCCATACAGCGCAAAGCCTTTTCATCCTGGATGCCGCGAAGCCAGCTGGGTCAAACTAGCTACTTGGTCATGTTGTTGCTCGAATCCAAGTCAACATGTAGCCGGGCTTCCCGGGCTTCCCGGGCTTACTGCTTTCATCGCCGAGAAAAGCTTCACCACTCCAGTTGCTCCCCGGATGACACTCACGCTTGACACTGCCGTCCCAGAAAATGGATTCGGTCTCGGGGTGTGTCTCCAAAGCTGAGACAGCGAAGCAGCGACCTCGGTGTCACCCCGTTGAAGGGCGCAAGCCGCGGCAGCGCCTTCAGCCAAAAAAGCCCCGGCGGCTTTTGGGAGGCGCGCACCTCCTCGACCGTTGCCCCCGACGGTTGCCCGTTGGGCAAAGCAAAAAGATATGAGACTTGAAGCTGACAGACAGTTGGGGAGTGGGGGCCCGGTCAGCAAACATCAAAACATCCGCAAAACAAAAGACGACGACGCCCGCCAGTCGTGGTGATTGATGCCTTCTCATGGCAGAAGAGAGGGACCTGATCCACTGGGACGCCTCTGTTCTGGCAGTTTTTGTGATGTTCGAGGGGTCCTTCATCCTGCGGTAAGAGAAGATGTTTATATTAAATATACCATAAGACACCCGGGCATGTAACATGAGACACCCTGATGCATATAAAGGAAGCTGTAAGATGTAGGTATGGCAGCATTCCTCGCTGCTGATCTCCCAAACTGAAAAGGTCAGCTCTTTGCTCCCCAAAGGTTTGACCTTTGGGTCGCAGCAGGGCAGGTCGGGTTTGTCAGCCACTTTGCAACACGTCCGCGCATCCGCGCTGCCGTGGCTGGGGTTACAGGGAGGTCGCCCCAGATCAAAGCCCCAAGCCGAGAGAGCCAGACGCCATGGACGCGGGTGGAGTCGCTGGGCTGCATGGAGACGGTGATATTGCTGTTGCTGTTCAGACCCTTTCGTCCTGTTCATTTGGGCTTCTTGTGGCTTCTTTGAAGGCCAGAAGGGTTTCGGCCGTTCAAGTTCTCACAAGTTCTCTAAAGATCTCTCAACAGAGCTCTCGATCTCAACATCAAGTCATTTGGAGAGAGTTTTCACATGTTTTCACCGTTTCCATCAGGAAATCCTGATTTGTTTCATATCATAAAATCCCTCATCCCAACATGCCAACCATCACGTCCTCATTCCTCGAGGTGAAACTGGCCAAGGTGGGACGCCGACGTCGACGGGTAGCCGCAGTCGACGGGTGATTCGGAGTGGTGGCCATCCTGTCCATCCCAACGGGGCCTGTGGCTTGGATTGCTTGTCCGAGAAGTGAAGGATCGTTGCACACAAATCACATCTATTGTAACATATTGTGACTGTATATAGAGCTTTTTGGCTTTTTGGACACCTCCATCTCTCTTAGCTTGGCAAAGTTTTCTTGAAACCACTTAGGAATCTAACCCGTTCCATGTCGGGGGTGCCGAACTTGGAGGGTACAGGTGCCTGCTTGGAGGGTACCCATGTTGGCCTCGATTCCTTCCTCCAGCCTTGGCGCTCCTCTCGGTGGCTTGGAGGCTCGTCCCAAAAGACCGCAGGTCGAGAAGATTTTGGGACGTACCGGCTCTCGTGGTGGTGTGATCCAGGCACTCCAGCGAGATGGGCCCGGACATCTGGGGGCATTGGGGGCGGGTTTGTGGATCAGCAAGTTGCTGGAACTATTCCGCAGATCGGTGGTGAAATCTGGAGACTGATCACGGCCATCACGGCGCGCCCAGCAGGGGTCCCTTCACTCCTGCACAGCAGGTGCGAGTGCTCTTCATGACGGAGACAGCCCCTGAGCTCGCCGGGCGCTCCCTCATCCGCAACGTCAAGGTAGCGGAATCAAGGGAAACAGGGAAGGAGTGGAGCAGGGGCAGAGCAAGGTCAGGTGTTTTTCTTGTGGACAGTTTTTTCAGCAAGTTTTCCAATTTCTAGCATTGTTTTCAGTTTGCCTAGTCTTTCAGTCTTTCCATTATTTTCCTTTGATTGGCCACAGAGTCTCAGAGGAATGTCTTCAAAGGTTGACATTGGACTGTCGATGCTTGGCATCTAGTCTCACGTCTCAGGGCCCAGTGCGAGAAGGAGATATCCTGGCCCGGCTGCTCAGTGGCCGATTCCGTCACAGAGATGAATGGATGGATGGACAGACCTTGATGGTGTATGACTCTATGACTGTGTGTCTCAAGCACACTTCAGTTTATCTTTCTGGGGTGGGAACGCGACGGGACATTCGGACAGTGTCGGTGTTTTTCAAGGGCAAAGACCACATGTTATGTGACTACTGGTGTACAGTTACATTTTTTATATTTCTGCAAACAGGCCACCAATCATGCCAACAAATCCGAGCACAATGCCAGGCTTTGCTCGAGACTGAGCGAGAAGCGCGACGTTTGCGATAGAGATGGGCTAAGATTGGATACATTTGGGGCAAAAGACATCAAATATTCAAACATTATATATAGTCAAATATGTAATATCTATTTGAATTTTTATTTGATATGTGTATATTATATATATATACATTTAAAACACATATTATGCATTTTACTGTACAATGTGAATTGTATGATTAATAAGGAATATACTTATTATGGTTATTGTTTTGAGTGCTGTCGTAATAGTCTATGATTTTTTGCGGAGCAAAGATAATATATCGAGCGGCTTTTTTAGCTGTCTTTTGGCTTAAGTAATTTGTTTCTTCTTCGAAATGGATGATAAAGGGAATGAAGGAATGGGAAAAAATTAAGAGATGGAAAGGAGGCTTGTTTTGGGCGGATCCGGATGAAAAGGATAATGAGGAGGAAGGGAATGAATCGGATTTTAATAGATTTGAGGAGCAACATTTGGTAAAGGTTATTTACATTTCGCGATGAAATTGGACGTTTTGAGAAAGAATTCGTGAAGAAGAGGAGAATGAAGACCTTCTTAATCTAGATAAAATTGTAGAAAATATTACGAAAGCTAGCGTGCTAGCTGAGTTTTTCTTTGCTTTAGCATTGGTAGTGGGATGAATTGCGTACCTTAAAGCTTGATATATCACACTAAGGGCCTGGTCTTCCCCCCTTTGCGTAATATATATATATTATGCTAACCCCCCCCGCGGTTTAACTCCCAGTTGTAGGTATATAGGGGATCTTTTTTGTGTTCGCTGTTTAGTTAATCTTGGCATGGATGGGCTCGTAAGACGTAGGGCTTAGAGCATAATACTTAATTGTTTCGTACAAGGTTGCGCTTTGAGCATAGGATTTGTATTTTACTGTTGCAAGGTTGCAAAGGAGTTTGCGAGGATTCATTCGCGATTTTTGATGGGTCCCGATATCTTTGATATCTTGAGGTTTCTTTTACACGTAGACGAAACTTCTTGTATGATCCTTATGGGAAGCTCCATGGATGCCTGCGCAGCGCGGCCTCCATGTGGGCTCTGCAACGTTCGAAGGCCTGACGAGCACAAGTAATCTGGACACTGTGTGGACCGGACGGCATTTGAGTTCAACAATCTTAAAGTAACATACATACATAACGATGATCTTTGAAAGATGCACATTTTGAGATAGTTGCGGTGGTTGAGTTCCTGTGTCCACTCCTTTAGCTTTGGATAGGTTGCCCTTTGCCCATTTCCGTTAGACTCACATCTGGCAACATCACTCCATTTCCATCACTCCACTTCACGGAGGTGTTTAGCTCCAGTGTAATTGTTCGCTTTTAGGCATACAGAAGTGGGGGGTAAATTTACCCCCTAGATTTGCCATAACCAGAAGCTAGCTATTTCTTCAAGACACTATTCTTGATACCTTTTTTACCAGTGCTTATCCTACACTACGGACGCCCTAGCATATGTACAGTCCTTGTGATGCCAGAAATGCTTACCCAAGGCGTACCAAAGCGGTGGGTAAATTTACCCCCTAGATTTGCCATAACAGTTTCTATGGACTGCGTGGAGCCGATGGGGCCGATGGGCAGTGGCCAGTGGCTTGAGCGCAGCTGGGCTGAGAGCGACCAATGACGGCCCAGTGGCTCTCAAAAACTCACATCCCGTGTAGTTTCTCCGCAAAAATATTGCCCCCCAGTCAGGACGCATGTTTGCACAGCTAAGGACAAAATAGCTAAGAGGGACGTGGGGAGGGTTCTGAGGTGGAGGAGGTTGGCTCGATAATCTCACGATTTGCAAGTCGCTATCCTCGTGGGACACCAAAGCCTTGGATAAAGCAGTAGCAAAACTATGGAAACCAGGCCAATACATGACCCAAAAGGGACTCACGAAGCTCAACGTAAAGCTGCGGAATCAAGGATTGTCGCCAATTACAAGCTGGATCAACTATCGCA